GCCCGCGGGAGCGCGGCCTGGTGCTAGGCGACGAGGGCGAGTGCGTGCGGCGCTGCGGAGCGCTAAACGTGTCTCTGGCGGCCGAGGCCTGCAGAGCAAAACGCCACGCCGCCATCAAGACCGTCCGCATCCCCCAAATCAGCGACCTCAGGGCGCTCATCGAGGACCCCCGGCTCAACCTCAAGGTAGAGACGTTAGCCCGAGGATAAACCAGAGCAGATCAACCCTAACCCAAAGTAAATCAGACGTTAACTGAGAATAAAGAAGATCAATAGTACGAATATGACATTTATTGGTCACAAGCAGAGTCAATCAGTTTGGCTCTCACAGACAAAGTTCCCGGAGGATCTCAGTTAACAAAGAGCCTCGATTTCCGGGTGAGATGGACAGTTTTCCTCTGGGCCTCCAACAGGAGGACGAGTGTTATTGGCCAGTTAGCTCTGACATGAACAGGCCAGGTCCTAATTCATGCAGGTTTCAGTGATGATCATGTAATCCTTTGAATGTACTAATTACACTTATGATGCAGAGGACATTTTGACTACTTCTCAGGACCCGATCCTGATGGATTCAGAGCCATTTCTGGGGATAGTGTATGTTAGCCTGATTCTTTAGTTGGAAGCCTGAGAATCAACCAGAGTAAATCAAGAGTACAAACATGACATTTATTGGTCACAAGCAAAGTAAATCAGCTGGGCTCTCACAGACGCTACCAGAGGGTTAGGGTTAGGGTTAGGGTTAGGGTTATGGCCAAGTGCCACGCCGCCATCAAGACCGTCCGGATCCCCCAAATCAGTGACCTCAGGGCGCTCATCGAGGACCCCCGGCTCAACCTGAAGGTAGAGACGTTAGCCTGAGAATAAACCAGAGCAGATCAACCCTAACCCAAAGTAAATCAGACGTTAGCCCCATTTTTGCCAACAACGGAGGTGCAAACACAGCCTGACCCAAACGCTGTTTTTGATGTGTTTGCTGGTTTCTATGTGGATTAAAGTGGTGTTATTTAATAAGAGGAGTTTTGGTTCTTTAGCTGGAAGCCTAAGAATAAACCAGAATAGATCAAGAGTACAATTATGACATGTATTGGTCACAAGAAAAGTAAATCAGCGTTGGGCTCGACAAAGCTCCCAGAGGATCTCAGTTAGCAAAGAGCCTCGATAACAGAGTGTCATTGGCCAGTTAGCTCTGACATGAACAGGCCAGGTCCTAATTCATGCAGGTTTCAGTGATGATCATGTAATGCTTTGAATGTACTAATTACACTTATGATGCAGAGGACATTTTGACTACTTCTCAGGACCCGATCCTGATGGATTCAGAGCCATTTTGGGGTATAGTGTATGTTAGCCCCATTCTTTAGCTGGAAGCCTGAGAATCAACCAGAGCAGATCAAGAATACAAATTTGACATTTATTGGTCACAAGCAAAGTAAATCAGCTGGGCTCTCACAGACAAAGCTCCCGGAGGGTTAGGGTTAGGGTTAGGGTTAGGGCGAAGCGCCACGCCGCCATCAAGACCGTCCGGATCCCCCAAGTCAGCGACCTCAGGGCGCTCATCGAGGACCCCCGGCTCAACCTGAAGGTAGAGACGTTAGCCCGTGTCAGGGAGGTGGATGTTGATGGAGGTTCAAAAACAGGTTAAAAAACAGGGCTGTGGCAAAACTAAGAGCAAAAGTAACAAAGCAAGGTTAACAAAACTGTGGCAAAGTATCAAAACAAGACTGTGGCAAAAGTACAAACGAGATTAACATGGCAGTGGTCAAACAAGGCTATGGCAAAGTAACAAAATAAAGATTAACAAAACTGGATTCCCCAGATCAGCGACCTCAGGGCCCTCATCGAGGACCCCCGGCTCAACCTGAAGGTAGAGACGTTAGCCCGATTCTTTAGCTGGAAGCCTAAGAATAAACCAGGGCAGATCAACCCTAACCCTAACCCAAAGTAAATCAGACGGAGGTGCAAACACAGCCTGGCCCAAACGCTATTTTTGATGTGTTTGCTGGTTTCTATGTGGATTAAAGTGGTGTTAGTTTTGGTTCTTTAGCTTGAAGCCTGAGAATAAACCAGAGCAGATGAAGAGTTTTATTTATTTATTGGTCACAATCAGAGTAAATCAGCTGGGCTCTCACAGACAAAAACTCCTGGAGGATCTCAGTTAGCAAAGAGCCTCGATTTTCGGGTGTGATGGACAGTTTTCCTCTGGGCCTTATTTAGGAAAAAAAGCAACATTTTACTGACTTACTTTTACGTCTTGAAAATGGCATTGACAGTAAATCTGCCACCAAATCAATTTCTTCTCCTCCTTCAGCCCTTGCGGGGTGATAAAATAGCTATTACACCAAGACAACTATATTAGGGTTTGTTTGCTAGCTTTGGCTGGTACGCTATCTGAATATCCAATGAGCGGATAGAGGGCTACAGGGCCCTGGTGTCTCCA